GCATTGTTAAATTTAGTCTGCAAGCATTTTTTTAAAGACTTTTGCGTCTGACTCCATCAGGGAAGTTGGACTATGCACTGTTTTTGTTGCTATTGTAGCCTTATCTGGTTTGGGGATCATAGGATGAGTTTGGTGTGTTGCTTCTCGTTTTATGAAATTGTTGGAGAAGCCCTTCTGCCAGCTCTTTTTTAAAGGGTGGTGGGATTCAACAGGGAGTCCCCCTGTCCTAAGTGTTTCCATATTGGAGGACTGCTATCATTAAATTATTTTTGTTCGTTACAGATCCCTTTAAATTGTTTATATCTACTTAATATAAATTTTACAGCTCAGAGGTGTCTCTGAGTTTATTCATTTTTTCTAGTACTTAATATAAATTTTACAGCTCAGAGGTGTCTCTGAGTTTATTCATTTCTTCTAGACTTTCCTGCTCTTTGAATTTAGATTTTTCAAGTATTTTTTTCCATGATCCTTTGGTGTCTGTTTTATTGTTTCTCTTTTCATTTCATTTATTTGGCTACTTGGCTAAGGATTATTTGGTCTTTATCTTTTCAGTTTTATTCAATACATTGTTTCTGTTGTCCTTTTAGTTTCTATTCATTGATTTGTCTACTTCCTCTGGGTGTGGCTAGTACTTGCTTTCTAACTCTTGAGGTGAACCATTAGTCTAATTATTCAAGATTTTTTCTTCTTGTGCACATTCTCAGCTATAAACTTACTTCTTTTTGTTATTTTTTATTAAATTTTTTAATTCGTTTTACAGACCAACCACAGTTTCTCCCCCTCCTCTCCTCCGGTTCTCTCCCCCACCTCCCATCTTCCCCCTATCTAGTCCTCCTCCATTATGAAAGGGGCAGGCCTCCCATGGGAGTCAACAAAGCATGGCATATCAAGTTGAGGCAGGACCAAGCTCCTCACCCTGCATCCAGGCATCCCAGCATGGGGAATAGGTTCCCAAAAGCCATCTCACATGCCAGGGACAGGTCCTGATCCCACTGGTAGGGGCCCTGCAAGCAGACCAAGCTACACAGCTGCTACCCACATGCAGAGGACCTAGATCAGCTCAGAGTCTGTGAGCTCCCACTAGCTCAGGTCAGCTGTCTCTGTGTTTTCTCCCCATCACGATCTTGACCCGTCCTAGGTACTACAATCCCTCCACCCTGTCTTCAACAGAGCTCCTGGAGTTTGGCCCAGTGTTTGTGGACAAAGTTACTGGACAAAGTTTCTCTGATGGCAACTAGGGTAGTCATCAACCCGACCACAGGAGAAGGCCAGTTTAGGCACCTCTCCACCACTGCTGGGAATCCTAGCTGGGGTCATGGATCCCTGGGAGTTTCTCTGGCACCAGGCTTCTCCCTAAATGGCCCCCAACAAGATATTTCTTTTATTACTCTCCCCCTCTGACCTGCCCCCACCATGCCCAACACGATCTCTCATGTTCCCTTCTCCCTACCCCCCAGTTTACCCAGGAGTTCTCATCTATTTCCCCTTCCCAGGGAGATCCATGCATCCCTCTTAGGGATGCTAGTTACCTAGCTTCTCTGGGTCTGTGAATTGTAGCCTGTTTATCCATTACTTTACAGTTAATATCCACTTATGATTAGTACATACCATGTTGGTCTTTCTGGGTTACCTCCCACAGGATGTTTTCTTCTAGTTCCATCCATTTGCCTGCAGACTTCATGATGTCATTTTTTCCCCACTGAGTAATACTCCATTGTGTAAATGCACTACAGTTTCTTTATCCATTCTTGAGGGGCATCTAGGTTTTTTCCAGATTCTGGATATTATGAATAATGTTGCTATGAACTTATTTGAGCAAGTGTCATTGTGGTATGATTGAGCATCCTTTGGATATATGCCCAAGATTCGTATTGTTGGGTCTTGAGTTAGACTGATTCCCAATTTTCTGAGAAACCAACATACTGATTTCCAAAGTGGCTGTACAAGTTTATAATCACAGCAACAGTGGAGGAGCATTCCCCTTACTCCACATTCACTCCAACATAGGCTGTCATTAGCATTTTTGATCTTAGCTATTTGGATATCTTCAACAAATGGTGCTGGCATAACTGGATATTGGTATGTAGAAGACTGCAAATAGATCCATATCTAACACTCTGCACAAGACAAAAATCCAAGTGGATCAAAGACCTCAACATAAATCCAGTTACACTGAACCTGATAGAAAAGAAAGTGGGAAGTGGCTCTGAGTGCATTGGCACAGGAGACAACTTCCTGAATAGAACACCAGTAGCCCAGACACTGAGATTGACATTTAATAAATTGGACCTTGTGAAACTGAAAGGTTTCTGTAAGGCAAAGGGCACAAAACAGCAGCCTAAAGAATGGGAAAAGATCTTCACCAACCCCACATCTGACAGAGGGATGATCTCCAAAATGTATAAAGAACTCAAGAAACTAGACATAAAACAAACAAACAAATAATCCAATTTAAAAATGGGGTACAGATTTAAACAGAGAATTCTCAACAGAAGAATCTTAAATGGCCTAGTTACACTTAAAGAATTGTTCAACATCCTTAGTCATCAGGGAAATGCAAATCAAAATGACTCTGAGATACCATCTTTTTTGTTTGTTTGTTTGTTTGTTTGTTTTTGCTTTTCGAGACAGGGTTTCTCTGTATAGCTTTGGCGCCTATCCTGGCACGCGCTCTGGAGACCAGGCTGGCCTTGAATTCACAGAGATCTGCCTGCCTCTGCCTCCCGAGTGCTGGGATAAAGGCGTGTGCCACCAACACTCAGCCTGAGATACCATCTTAAACCTAGTTATTAAGCTTAACTCTTATGATGGCACCTGACCACTGATCTCTAAAATACTGGGTGTGACAAAATGGAATCCCTCTGCACAGCTGTCCATCAAGTAGGAGTCACTGTCTTAACAGGAAACCCTCCTGTATCTAGGCCTGTGCTAACTGTTGGACTTTCCCATGGGTAGGACCATCAGTCACTTTTCAATTGCTTATCTTTTGGATTCAGCGTCTGCTCCATCAGAGAGCCACATTCTAGCATTGCTGCCAGTCCTTTGCCCGTGTGTTCTGCTGTTTCTCCCTCCTTTTTGGATTCCCCATTATATTCTTCATGCTAGCCAGTCTCCTGTCTCTCTCTGTTTGCAATGCATTCTATCCTTTGCTATTTGACTCTTCTCATTCATTACATTGCAAGGCAGAAGCTTCTAACCTGATGTGTTACCCTGGAAACTTCAAGCCATTCATGTTAAGTCTGATTTTTAATGTAATATTGTTATTTATTCTTTGAGAATTTCACACATGCACACAATGTATTTTTATTACATTCGTCCCTCTACTCCTTCCTTTCAGCTCTTCCTGGATTCCACCCCTATCCCCACCCCAGGATAATCACTTTTATTGGGTACTTTCCAACCTTCAGCTTTTATTTTAGCCAATAAATTCTGGGTGAAATGGACTGGGAACATAAAAACTTATTTATCTTTCAAACATCACCTGGTACATTAACTTGAAAATATTTTACTTCTCAGACTAGTATGTTATGAAGTTTTGCAAAACCCCTAGGGAGTTTATCACTGAGCAATTTTGCCTCTGTGCAGATACCACCCTTCTTTGTGTTCTGTTGCCTTTGTTAAGGCACCGCCCATGTTAGCACTCTTCTGCATTTGTTCAGAAGCAAACAGGCTTTTAGTTGACGAGCTGAGCCTTGCTCTTTGTTGTTTGCCAGTTGAGACTCAGAAGTCTATCCGTGTCCATGCCTGCCTACTCTTCTCTACTGTGCCTACAACATATGCTAGGGTTCTCCACCATTGCTGCTAAAACAATGGCACTTACATGCAAGCCCGATCCATTGGCAGTGCTTTCCCTTTTGGGTTTAATTTGGCCAATGCTCTAGAATTAAAGATTATAATTACTACTTCTTAATTTATATAAACATGCTAGATCAGACTTACTGCATGCATTGAATTACATTGAGAGATTTGTGGCCATGTTTTCCATTTGTCAGAGGGAAGGGTTTTGTTGACACATAAGTAGTTGAACAACAAACTGCCAAATGTCTTCTAGGTTGGTAAGAGTCCTTATTCTGTGTTACAGGACTGAAGAGTTTTGTCTAGAGATGGAAGCCTGCCTGGCTGTTTCACTACACGAGAGTGACATCTTACTGGCAAATGGAGAGTTTACTGGAGGCTATGGTGTGTCGATGTGACAACTCACCACTGTCAAAAATAATAAATACCTTGGACACCCTCCTATCAAAAAAGAAAGCAAATTCAGGAGGGTCTGGTGTGGCTGAATACTAGAAAATAGTGGTGTAAAATGGAGAAACAGCTAAATACTTGCCCAAGGGATTGCCTTTTGGGGATGCAAGGGCCTCTGTGTGTAACAGGACTCTAATTCCCTGGAAGTCTGGATTCCTATGCGTGTAAGCAATTCTGAGCAGATACAGATTTGTACAGATTTCCTTGCATCGATTATATACATGCATTCATACATACATATCATTATAATTGTTTGTGTGTGTGTGTGTGTGTGTGTGTGTGTGTGTGTGTGTGTGTGTGTGTGTGTATGTATTGCTAAAGACTGAACCCAGGGCAAGACATGGGCTCTACCACACAGTCATACCCCTAGGCCTCATGTATATTTAGCCACTCTATCTACAAGCTGTATCAAGTCTGCAGAGTGGAGTGCAAATGCAAATGCTTAAATGCAACCCTAAAATCAGCTGCCTTACATAACAGCCTGCACTCACAAGCATGCAATGTATCCTTTGTCAACTACACTGAGCCGGATTAATCTGTCCTGTTTTTATCTTCTCCAAAATAAAACGAGTAAGGATGCCTTCTGTAAGGATACCTTCTGTAAGGATGCCTTCCGTAAGGATGCTTTCTGGCCCTTTGCAGCAAAGCTGACTATTCAGTCTTTGTTAGGTTCTTATTCTTTGTCTAATCATAACAGTTATTGTATTTCTTTTCACCACCAGTTGCTTTGCAGGAGGGTAGAGCTTGCTGGGCTTGGGAAAGTTTCAAGGCTATGAATCATGTTGCTGAAGGCAGGCAGAACTTCCAAGTCACGCTATTTATTGAAGGTGCAGATGCTGTTACTCATGGCAGAGTGAACTGAGCATCAATTAGAAAACGTTTGCAGACCACGAACCCGAGAGAGCCAGGATGGGCACTGCTGGAAAAGTAAGGGAAATATTTCGGCTTTCTTATTCTCTTGAGCTAATGATGGGGGCTGCGCCTGAGAGCTTTGAATCCAGTAGCATAAATAAATACTCAAGACTGTTTGTTGAGGAAGGCAAGGCTGTTGTGTGAGCACACATAGGGGAAACGGGTCAATTACGACAGAACTCCAATAGTGAGCAGCAGGATTAGATTGAAAATCACATGTGGAAGGTGCTTCTAGAAGGCAGCTAAGGAAAAAAGAGAATTTCGGTTTATATGGACATTATTCATAATTTAACTTCAGGTCAGCCAGTCACTTGCTCTAGAGAGCAAACTATTTCCACAAGGAGACTTGAATAGGGTCAGTAGTGTGTACTCAACTCATTTCCGGAGTCGAATAGGTCCAGGGTCTCCGGTGCAGCTGCAGAGGGTAAAATGCTAATTCTGGAATTCAAAGTCAACAACCAAGTAATGACACTTTTCAAGTTTCAGAGGACATGTTTTGTAGCAAATGTAAGAGTAGACCTTCTTAGAAAACAGGACCACACTGTAGACAAAGCATGCTTAGTCCTTCAGAAGGTAACAGCACCTAAACGGTGACAGTGATTTAAGAAACAAGACTTTTTAATTTTTTTTTTATCGCTTGAAGATTCGGATAGGTCTTAAATGGGTACCGAACCTCATAAGATGATAGGCACTTATGTTTTCTTACTTTTAAACAACTTTGCATTTAGTCTACCTTAAAATTTTAGGAAGGTGAAGATGCCGTTAAAAGTCTCGGTAACACTAGTGTCTCTGAGGTGGCACAAGAATGCTAGAATCTGAAAAATCCCCCCCCCCCCCACATTGAGTCAGAAATCCTGTAAAAACTGATCATCAGGAGAATTAGTCTCACAGTATAGAAGTTAGTAACTCTGCTCATAGAAATAAATGGAACTTAAGAGTTGAAATGAATCTTAAAATATTTGCAACTCCATACAACCTGTTCTCTGGCCTTCCATCATGGGAGTGTGCAGCCACTATCAGAACATACCCAGTCATGAAGAGTTCAGGGGCTCCAGGCAGCATCACCTAACTATAATTAAGGATACACCATATAAAACAAACAGCATAACAGGTTTGAATTTTTGCCCGGCGATGTTATATAGTAGGGTGGTTCACAGGGGCTTATGTGCTCCACAAAACTGTTCTGATGTTTTAAGGTAGCTCAGAAAGAGGCTCCCTTATGTCAGCCCTCCTCTGTTAATATTTTGCTATTTCATTTAAAAAAAAAGATGATTATGTTACTTTGCTAAGGATGCTATAATCAAGTACCAGCAACCGTGTGTCTTAAAGAGCAGAGCTTTATTTCCTCAGGCATCTGGAAGCTGGGATCTGGAGAACAGACTGTTGAGAACATGGGTTCCTTGCTTAGGAGGTGCTCTTTTTGCCATCTCTACATGGCTTTGAACCTAATACAAGTTTCTGTGTATTCATTTGGGCCTAACTCAGGCAGGTGGCTGGCATAAAGCTCACACGTGGCAGTGGGGCTCAGGCGGCTTTTGGCAGAAAGATTTATGGTAACTTTTCCCATCATTGTTAAATATAAAAGTTACTCCATGGTATTTGTCACTGCCATTAATGTGACGTGAGGGTTCTAGTTTAGTCTTGGCCAGATTATACTGTGACTGAAAATAATTTCCTTAGCTAGACAATGGATACATGTTAAATGAGGCACTGGTGGTTTTCTGTCATTCATCTGTCTCTAGCATAATGTTCCCCACATTTAATCTAAAGGAGTTTTCATGAGTTGGTCAATAAGTTGAGGAGTAGCTTGTGTTGTATACTTGGCTCTTTCTTTGGGGCTACCAACCAGCTCCCAAGCTTAGGTTTCCCCTTCTATTTATTCTCTCTGCCTGGCAGTCCAGCCTATCCTTTCTCCTGTCTAGATATTGGCCATTCAACATTTTATTAGACCAATCAGGTGCCTTAGGCAGGCAAGGTGAAACAAATACAACACATCTTTACATAATTAAACACATATCCTTACACCATTAAACAAATGCAGCAGAAACAAGTGCAACACACTTTTACACAGTGAAAGTCATGTTCACAGCATAAACGAATGTAGAGCATCTTTGTCTACTCAAAATAGTATCCCACAACAGTGGCAAATCATAACAAATGAAATCTTAGATTTTCCTTTATTTGAATCTGTGTGTGTGCTCTCTCTCTCTCCTCCTCCCTTTGCCTCCTTCTCTCTCTGTCTGTCTCTGTCTGTCTCTGTCTCTGTCTCTGTCTCTCTCTCTGTCTCTCTGTCTCTGTCTCTGTCTCTCTGTCTCTGTCTCTGTCTCTCTCTCTCTGTCTCTCTCTCTCTCTCATTAGAATTTTATACTGCTACCAAAACCTGTTAGCTGATTAGCTCTAGCAAAACCATGTGAGTGCCTGGTGGTCAGTTGCTGGGTATGTCCTACTTGTGCAAGGTAAGGAGGAAGCTCTGCCTTGGGATAATTGCAAAAAGGGATTCAGAGATGCGAAGATACAGATCACACTGCAGAAGCAGTCACAATCCACATCTTCATGATGGTAACAAGCAGATCTGTGTCTGTCTCAGTTAGGGTTTCTATTGCTGCGGATAGGTATCAGGACCACGGCGACTCTTACAAAGGAGAACATATAATGGGGGGGTGGGGCTTATAATTTCAGAGGTTTAGTCTGTTATCTTCATGGCAGGCCACGGCAATCCGCAGGCAGATAAGGTGCTGGAGGAGCTGCTGAGAGTTCTACATCCTGATCCCTGGGCAACAGGAGTCAACTATGTGCCACACTGAGAGCAGCTTGAGCACAGGAGACCTCAAAGCCCATCCCCCTCAGCGACACACTTCCCCCAGCAAGGCCACATCCCCTACAACAAAGTTACACTCCTAATAGTGCCACTCTCTTTGGGAACCATTTTCTTTCAAACCATCACATTCCACTTTCTGGTCCCAAAGACTTACAGCCATATCATAATGCAAAAGTGCATTCAGTGCAACTTCAGAAGTCCCCATAATCTATAAGTCTTAAACTTATTTAAAAATCTAACAAAGTCTCTTAATCATAATCACCTATAAAATCAAAGTAAAAAAGCATATGCATATTTCCAATATATGATGGCCCAAGATATAGATTACCATTCTAAAACATAGGGAAGGGAGAATAGTGAGGAAATACTGGGCCAAAGCATCTCCATGTCTGATGTCAAAACAATCTTCAGATTTCCAATTGCTTTCAGCTCTTTTGACTGCAGCATGCTTCTTTCTCTTGGGAAAGTTCCACTTCCTGTTAGCAGCTCTTCTCAGCAGATATCCCATGGCTCTGGTATCTCCAACACGTTGGACTCTGCAAGGCAATCCAGGCTTCAAGCTCACAGCTTTATACAATGGCCTGTTTGGGTCTCCATGCAGGGACACCCCTACCACACATCTGATCCCGGCAGATTTCCTTAGTCATGGAGAAAGAGTCTATAACCCCTTTCTTCTATCAGTGACTCTAAAGCCAGAACCATGTAGCTGAAGTTGACAAGCTTTGCTACTAGGTAGGGCTGGGACATGGCCCCCTTGTTCAGTTACATATTTACCAGCTTTCTGTTTTCCATGGTTTCCTTCACTTCCTAATCTTGGGGCTGTCCTGGAACTTGGTCTGTCAACTAGGCTGGCCCTGAACTTAGAGACCTGCTTGCTTAAGTCTTCAGAGGGCTGGGATTAAAGGCATGTGCCACCACACCCAGCTCTAAATTTTCTTTAATTTCTTTTCACAAGTTGGAAACTTAGCACTGTGGGATCTTGCCCTGATGTCACCACATCCTTTATTTCATTTCTTAATCCATTTATATCCTTGAACACAAGACTTAGCTCCATTTCACTTCCTGAGGCTCCTTTTCTCCTCAAATTGTACATTTTGTATTTTTCTTTTCTTATCTTGCTCCCTTTCATTATAAATATTCATTAGATTTAACATTAGTAACCACACAGTGGAGTCTATACTAGGCTATCTTGAGAATTTCTTGGTCAATACAATTAGTCCAAAACTTTTCAATTTAGCCTCATGCAGACTTTTCAGGCAAGAGTAAAAAGCAGCCACATTCATCACCAAAACACTACAAGAGTGATCTCTAGGCAAGATCTCTAGGAAGAATAAAATTCTTCACCTCTAAAACCTCTTGAGCCAGGCCCCCACAATTCAAATTACCCCTAGCACCACTGTCCTCCATGCTTGTACTCTTATGGCCCATTAAACAGTGCTTAAAGTGTTCCACTGCTTTCCTAACTCAAACTACCAAAGTCCACACTCCTCCAAATAAAAGCATGGCCAGGCCCATCACAACAATACCCCAGTCCTTGGCACCAACTTCTGTTTTAACTAGAATTTCTATTGCTGTGAAGAAAATACCATGGCCACAACAATTATTATAAAGAAAAACATTTCATTGGGTGTAGAGAGACTTAAAATTTCAAAGGTTTAGTCTATTATCTTCATGGCAGGACATGGCAAAGAGCAGGCAGACAGTGCTGGAGAAGGAGCTGAGAATTCTACCTCTGTAACCACAAGGTAGCAACTATGTGCCAAACTGAGAGTAGCTTGAGCATAGGAGACCTCAAAGCCCACCCCCACAGTGACACACTTCCTCCAACAAGGCCACACCCACTCCAACCAGGCCATACCTCCTAATAGTGCCACTCCCTTTGATGGCCATTTTCTTTCAAATTATCACAATGTCTTATGGCATGAGTTGTCTCATTGCTTCATCATTGCTGAGTGGGTTAGATATAATTAAAGAATGGGTGAAATTCTTACAGATCAGCAGTGTTCTCTTTTTCACAGGCTTGTCCTTCATTAATAAGCAATACACAGATGACAATTGTACTCATCTATCACATTTGAAATCATACTAGTAGACTACTTTATTGGAATATTATGTGAATCTCAGCTCTGACCTTCTGTGCTGTGTGTCCTGGGTCTTTCATCCCATGTCTCAGGCCATGATACCAGATAAAGGGCCACACAAGATAATCTGTGAGGTTTCAAATTCTGTCATTGAAGGAAAGCATCTGTGGTATTTCTATGACTCGGGGAGTCTACCTGTTATGGCTCTTGGCTTCTTAGGTTATCAAGTGCAAAGCAGCTGTACTATGGGGAATGAACCAGCCCTTCTCCATTGAGGAAATAGAAGTGGCCCCACCAAAAGCTAAGGAAGTTCGTGTTAAGGTAAGAAAGAGGCTTGGAACACATAAACCCAAAATCTCTTTAATGTTGAGAAAGACATTGTTGTGAGGCTGGCTTCCTTCTAAAATGTTATATATTTATTATTTTATGTGTGGGAGGTGTTTGTCTGCATGCATGTCTGTATACCACATGTGCTTGGTGCTAAAGAAGGCCAGAAGAGGGTGCTGGATCCCCTGGAACTGGAGCTACAAAGATGCAGTTGTGAGATGCCATGTGAGTGCTCAGAATCAAACCAGGGTACTCAGGAAGAGCAGCCACTGCTTTTAACTTACTGCTGAGCCATCTCTCTGGCCCAGAGGTTAGCTTCTTAAAACATGTTTGACAACAAATTCTCCAACCAATTTATACATGTTGTTAGGGAAGTGGACATGTTGGCTGTGAAATTCACCAGTTTATCGTCCATTAAGAATGACAATGCCAATCTATCTTATTAAAGAGAATATTTGTTGAATTTTTACTGGTGTAGTGTTTGATAGAAAATGATCAATACCATGACCAAGAGTTATCTTAAAATCTTCTGCGAGTCACAATGTGTTGGTACATGCATACATACATACATACATACATACATACATACATACATACATGGCACAGGGAGCAGAACCTTGGGCATCAGGCAAGAGTTCTGCCAAGGATCTATATCTCTAGCTATGTTTTTACCTCTTGCTTGGTGACAGGGTCTCACTTAGTCACATGGGCTGACCTTGAACTCACTTTGTAGCCTAGGTAAGCTGTGAACTTTGTGATCATCCTCTTGCCTCTGTCTCCCAAATAGATGGGACTCCAGGCCTGTTCCACCAGGGCCACCCAGAGGACTTTCATTAGGCACTCGTTTGTGACTGAGAAGCAATACCTTCCTGCACCACCCCCTACTATGGACAGCCCTTCCTTCTTCATTGTCATTGGTTTAGATGCCCCTGTTGAGCAGGCTTTGATGCTAGTCTGACCTCTTCACTGTAGATAAGCATCAAGATCCAAGCAGGAAGGGAAGCAATGCTGTACATCCCTGAAGCAAGGGGACTTGGCCTGATGCTTGATTTAGACTCAAAGTGTCTTAGCATCAATGCTATAATTTGAGAAAATGATAGAGAGTTAAAGGGAGCAAGTTAAATGCCATCCCATTGTAAAATGACCCATTTGCTGGTTGTGCAATGTTTATTGCTGTTGCTGTTGTTTTTTTAACAGGTTTTGGCCACAGGAATCTGTCGCACAGATGACCATGTGATAAAAGGAGCAATGGTGTCTAAGTTTCCAGTGATTTTGGGACATGAAGCAGTTGGGGTTGTAGAGAGTGTTGGGGAAGGAGTCACTACAGTAAGACCAGGTATGGAGGCCTTGGTTATGCTATTGAAGGAAACACCACATTGTCACTGGGCATTAGTAGAGAGTTGCAGCCCGACTTAAGGAGACACAGGAGAACAGATTGTACTGAGTAAAGTCAACTTGTCAAATCTCAATCTTTAGCACCACTTGTGGTACTTATAACCCTTAGAATATTTTAAAGACATTTTTGTGTATAATGTAGGTCGATTCATACCTATTTCATCTATCAATTAATTAATTAATTGGTTCTTGATAATGGTTTTATTGTTTCTAAGGCTGGCCTGAAACTCACTACAGAGCCCAGGCTGCCCTGGCAGTCTTCCTGTATCAGTCACCACTGTGCTAGGATTACAGGCATGAGCCACCAAACCACCTTACTCCATTTTCTAATGCAAATGAATGACATCTTACATCATGCTACTTTCCTTCTAGGTGACAAGGTCATCCCCCTCTTTCTACCACAGTGTAGAGAATGCAATGCCTGCTGTAACCCAGAGGGCAATCTCTGCATTAGGAGCGAGTAGGTGTTATTTTTTACTCTGTCATTTGAGTTCCCCATGATAGTTTCTGACCCGAATTAAGCAATGTGTGCATTTGATGTGTTGAACAGTCTGACGGGTCGTGGAGTACTGGCCGATGGCACTACCAGATTCATGTGCAAGGGCAAACCGGTCCAGCATTTCATGAACACCAGCACCTTCACCGAGTACACGGTGCTAGATGAGTCATCCGTAGCTAAGATAGATGGCGCAGCTGCTCCTGAGAAAGCCTGCCTCATTGGCTGTGGGTTTTCCACAGGCTATGGGGCTGCTGTTAAAACCGCCAAGGTAAGAATCAGGGATGATTTGCATAGCTTCTGCCTTCCTGCCTGTCAGCCTTCCAGAGGGTGGTTTTCTTAGAACACTAAAGCAAAACAAATGTTTGAAAACAAAACATGTAAACAAAATGCACCGTGCCAGATGAACTGGCAGAAAAGACAGGGATCAAAGCAGACATTTTATTTCTAAATACATGGAGCTACAATTTCTGCATTTACTTTCTTTTTCTGCAGCATCTCCTTCTAATTAAATCATTAAAGTTTGTATTTAGTCCTAGAATGAATCTCTCTTTTCCCACTGGTGCTGGTATGTTCGTTTGCTGGGCAGACTGTGGCCAAGTGCTGCAGACTGGCTGGCTTAAGCAACAAAGATTTATTGTCACAGAGTCCTGGAGACCAGAAGTCCACAATGAAAGTGCTGGCAGGGTTGGTTCCTTCTGAGGGCTGCCCGGGGAGGGCCTGCTTCAGGCTTCTCCTCCTGCCTTATCCATGGCTGTCAACCTCCCAGTGTTTTCATCTCATCTTCCCCACTTTATATCTAAATTTCAATTTAAAATTAAGAACGCCAGTCACATTGGATTAGGGATGTGCTGGTCAGTTTTATATTGCTATGACAACATACCTGAACATACCTGAACGAAAAGAAAGCAGGTTTATTTAGCTCACAGTTTTGCAGACCAGAAGTTCTAGCTCACATGGCTCCATCTAGTCAGTCTCTGGCTAGGGACCCCTCCAGCTTCTGCACAGTGTAGAAAACCAAGACAGGGGACAGCAGTGCATAGTAGCAGTGCATACGCAGTGCATAGCAGAAGCCAAGTGCACCCACCATGCCACCCCACACAGCCTACTCTCCAGGGAACTAAGACCCCCCCCACGAATTAATCCCCACTGAGGCCAGCACCTTCAAGGACATGCTCACACCTCATGGTTATTCTTCTGCCAGGAAAGTGACTATGGACTGAATTCTTCTTTAATCTAGCATAGTACTAGACAAAAATCCCAAAGCTGACTTAAGTAGGGTTCCTTCCTTGAGCTACCCATCAACCACTGACTGCATGTGACATGGGAGTTGGACTTGGCTGGGAAAAAAATAAAAGGCAACATATATCCAGATGACTCAGAGTCATGGTTGTTTAGACACTGCCAGTCAGACTAAATGTAAAACAAATCAGCATGGCTTTGTGGAAAGACAATAGGGAGGGTGTGGGGCTTGTCTAACCCTCCTGTGAGAGTGGAGGGGGTTGTGGGTAGGGCCACACAGGCTACAAAGGCTGCTGGCCTACGGTAAGCCTTTAGGAAGGGCTGCTGTTTATCTGGCAAATACTGCCTTTGCTTTGGCAAATCCTTTTTTTCATCAGGCTTTCTTCTCCTTTTAATTCTTTTTGTGTCATTGTCATCTGAATAAGTCACCTGGAGTCCTGGTCCGTGTCATGGCGATCCTCCGAATTTTGTGTTCCTGACACTGACAGTACTTGGCACGTTTTGCCATTAACTCTTGGAGGAACTTTCCTTTCCACAGGTCACCCCTGGCTCCACTTGTGTAGTGTTCGGCCTGGGAGGTGTTGGCCTATCGGTCATCATGGGCTGTAAGGCAGCTGGAGCCTCCAGGATCATTGGAATTGACATCAACAAGGACAAATTCCAGAAGGCCCTGGCTGTAGGTGCCACAGAGTGTATCAATCCCAAGGACTTCACCAAGCCCATCAGTGAGGTGCTGTCAGACATGACAGGGAACACCGTGCAGTACACATTTGAAGTTATTGGGCGTCTTGAAACCATGGTAAGACTCAAGTTTCAGGGAGCCACAAGAATACCCAAGCTACAAGTTGTATTCAGGCTAAAGGTCATTTTGCACAGCTTCATTAACAATCAGCCATGGAAATACCTGTGACTCAGGCCAAAGAGCAGGACTGGTGAGATGGCTCAGTGAGCAAAGGGACTTGTCTCCAAGACTGACAGCCTGAGTTTGATTCCAAATACTCACATGTAGAAAAGAAAACCAACTCTCCCAAGCTCATTCTCTCATCTCCACACACACTCCACGGCATGCACTCACCCATGCTCATGCCCCCACACAAATAAATACATAAAAATGCAATGGAAAGTGTAATGGTAACCACATAGCAATTTTGCCTAAAAAGTCAAAGTCTAAAGATCAGTTTTACCTGATCATGTAAGTATCATGTCATGCCATTTTTATGTAATTAGAGTGCAAGGAGTCAACCAGTGACCCATGACTTTCCTTGTATATGCGGAGGAGGTCTTGGCAAAAGTGATTCCTTTCTTGAATTTTCTTGTGGTGAGAGCTGAAGAGAGCTAACCTTCAAACCTTGCTTCTTTGAGCTCAGCTGTCCTACCTCTTCTGTGGCACCCCTGTGGCCTCTTCTGTGGCACCCCTGTGGCCTCCTCAGTGGCACCTTGGTGGAAGACGTCAGAGTCCTTGGGATTAGAAAGCCCTGGCCTTGGGTAGAATTAGGAGTCCCAGAAACCTGGACAAAACCAGTTTTGCTCACAACTGTGTAACCGGTGAAATTTTCTCTAAGTCATTTGGTAATTGAGAAGAAACCTTCAGTTCATTATCCCTGTAACATCCCCTTTCTGGTGTCACCTAGGATTTATTCCTTAGCATCAATGAACCTTCCAGGTTGTACTTTCTAGAGCCAAGAGCCAGAGGGAAACATTATGAGGTCTGTTGACTTTGAGGAAGAGCTGTCTGAAGCACACTGTCCACTATTGCAATCTATTGAGTATTTAAAAGGGTTATTAGTGGATAACTGAAAGGTGAATGACCAAAAATATGGACCAAGCCTCAGAATACTGCCAGGAGCAGAAACTCCTTGTTTTAGTATTTGTGTTTAATTTTCAAATGAAGATTTCAAACATCTAATTGATTAATTCATTGAATGCAAATAACTTAAGGCTTCCCTGAAGGGTTGATGTTGGTGTGAAAGTATCACAAGGATTCCCTTGTATTGTTAATTTGTGAAGGTCGACCAAATGTACTAAAAATTAACAATTGCACTGGCCACAGTAAAGGCTCCTTAATATCTTAAGAGGCATATGTCTGTAGGGATTAATTATTAAGGACTAAAGTTGCACTGAAAATTTTTTAAATCAAATGGAAACCTAAAGCCTAGGGGCCTAATTTGATGTAGTAGTTGTTGGAAACCATGTTAACTGCTAGAACTCCTACCACGCGTTGTCATTTCTGAGCCCATGGTCTCCTTCATCTTAAACTCAGGTCGACGCCCTCTCGTCTTGTCATATGAACTATGGGACCAGTGTGGTGGTCGGCGCTCCTCCATCAGCCAAGACGCTCACTTACGACCCAATGCTGCTCTTCACTGGGCGGACGTGGAAGGGATGCGTCTTTGGAGGTGAGACGTCCGGGCCTTCCGCCGACAGTGGTTAGTAACTTTGTGTCTCCTGCCTACGGAGGGAGACAGGCTTGTGTTCTCATCTCCTCACCCTCGAAGTGCTTTCTCCCAAGGAGGAGTGGTAAATGACCCCAAATGGAGCGTCAATAGCAATTACACAAATGACATTTGTCTGTTCCTTAAGTGACCCAGGGCTAGCACCAGTGGGCACACTTTAGGTCAGTATCTGCAACTCCTGTGACCCAAAGGCCTGAGTAAAAGGCACCAGCCATGTCTCTGCTGGGATGACTTCTGTGGTAGTTGTTCTCCATACAAAGAGCACTCACTCATGAAAGAGAAGTTTCCCTACTCACGAAAACCTTGGCAAAAGTTCTGTGCCCAGAGCCCAAGTAAATGAAGAGCTGGAATGCCTTATCCCATGGGGAGAATTCAGCTTCCTACTAGAACAACTGAAGAGAAAACTGTAAGGATGAGGCCAGGATCACTCTCCTATGGTATGGAGGAGTATAATCACACTTTCAATCCCTTCCTTCGCAGTCTCATTCTCTGGTACCTTCATGTAGCACTAGGAGTTTAGGAGGTACTCCTCATATGAGACTTGGTTTTATACAGTGTAAGAGAAGAATATCATTTGAGTACCTGCTGAGGGTACAAAGAGGAGAAAGATGGTCTTGAATTAGAGAAGTATGAATTTTTTTGGAAAATGCAAACAAAAATATGAATGAAATATGAGCTGAAATAGCAGTGTGCTAGAGTGTGAATCTCTGTAGAGTGAGCTCACAAGAGAGTCAAAGGGACTAGGACCAGAAACAGTGCATGGGAGGCAGTTCTGTCTGTAGTTCTGTACAACTGTGGGGCAAATGGAAGGAGGCAGGAATCAAGAAGGCTTTAGTCGGCCTTAGTTTCTTAGGATGGGAGAAACACAGCTCGTTTGTATGTTGGGAATGTCGATCACACATAAGAGAAAGAAATACCACAATGCCATAAAATGTGAGGATTACTTAGTAGAGTACAAACAAGCTTGACCAAGTTTACTCACAGGTTGGAAGAGCAGAGATGACGTACCAAAACTGGTGACTGAGCTCCTGGAAGAGAAATTTGACCTGGACCAGTTGATCACCCACGTCTTGCCTTTTGAAAGCATCAAAGAAGGGTTTGAATTGCTTTATTCAGGGCAAAGGTATGTTTTCTTATGGTAACTTTTGACTTTTTCCCAAGGGCTACTTTTAAAGTTTAGTATTTATAAGTATACCCATTTCCTTCTCTCTCTCTTTTTTTTTTTTTTTAATTTTGGATTATTTAAGGTAGCCCGGGGAACATGCTACTGTCTTAGAATGTCAGCCCTCTATGAGCTCTTTGAATTCCCCTAGACTTTAGTTTTTCACACCAGATGGATGTCATTGGCCATTTTTAACATTATAAAGCTGCCAGAATTCTCAAGCAATACCATGTTGAACTTCTTTATCGTTCCCAAAGCTATTTTGCAACTGTGTTTGTTTTCTGAGTTTTGTTTCTCAGATGTTATTCTTGCCATATTAAGCTGATGAAACTAAGGTTACAAAAGGCAAATAATTATTATTTGGTCTCCTTGGAGCAGTGCCAGGGTGCACTCTGTTCCACACAGGCCAGGCTTCTCACCTAAAGCCCTATAAGCCAGGTAAACAGTGGGTGTTCCTGTTATGCATTTCTCCCTCCTGAGCACTGGGCAAGGGCAAGGTGAAGTGTGAAGGAGTCAGAGTTCAGCTACCTTTTCCTTATGGACTTCTGAGACCTGCCTGTGAGGTCAAAATAGATGGCATTCATTGGTTCTGTAAATATTGAGCATCAGCAGTGTGCAGTGGGTTTGGATTCTGCCAGTAATAGGAACTAACATTTCTTTTCAATGCCCTCTCTATGCCTGATGCAGTCTACAGAAGCATAATGTTATGCACATATGTTTAAATTTGATTTTTTAATCAAGTAAACAATGAATGGGTTTCTACCTAAAAAAGTCAAAATTCATTTATTTACATACACAAGACAAATATTTTAATATGGTTTGAAAAATAATTACTAGTTGTTTTCCAAATAAACAAAATGACTTTCAGAAATCTTACTTATACTATCTCCCTAATGCAGTAACTTCCCAAATGACGTTTGTAAACCCGAGTCCTTAAATTTCCATGACTTCCTATATAGGACCCCCAGAGTGCTCCATTTACATCATTTTCACCAAAACAACTCTTGCTTTTCTACATCTAAGCATAGAATGACGAGAGTTCTGCTTTTACAGAGTAGAAGGCAGAGCACTGCATCTTCATCCTGGCTCCTGCCCAGTGTGTCCAAAGTGATGCTGAGACCTGCAGGAAGGACCCCCTCGCACTCACTCCTGCCCACCCCTTCTCCTCCAGTGTCTCCTTTTCCCTGTCCAAGTCTGATCGTGGCTTCTCGGGACATGCTGACAGTAACTTAGTGGGCCTTCAGCTTCCTGTTTTCCAATCCCAGCCAGTCCTTCATGAGCAAATGTATTCAGGCCATCCCCAAATAGCAATGTCCCAAAGTGATTTTATTACTGAACTACAGCCCACATCCATTTATTAAGTGATCTGATATTCAATAACTAAGAACACAACACCCCCTCTCCTGTAGCCCCTGACAAAACTCTGGGGACACCAGAGAGGCAGGTCTTGCCTATTTTACCATCTCTTGGTCACCAAGACGTCTACACCCTCTTGGATTATCTTTCCTGTTCTCCCCAGTATGGCCTTAGCTCTGTTGTTGCAGGACAAACTCTTTCTTGGTAACAATTGCAATTTAAGCAGGTGCTTCTGGAGTCAATTCATTACCCACTCAGCTTCCCCCACCAGAGTGCACAGAAGGTGTGGACCACAAACCAGATGGCTTTCCCATAGAGCTTCTATCATAGGAACAAATGTTTTTTCTTCTCATATATATATGCATGCACAAATAACCAAACACTGTCATTTTCCATTTCAGCATTCGGACTGTCCTGACATTTTGAGATCTGAGAGGTGGGTGTTCTGTGCTGGGTGACCGTAACCTGAAATCTTCTTCCTGGCAGTGCCCTCTGAGATCCTGGGTCTGTCTCAGAAACACATGCAGAAGTAGACTTGGTGAAGATATAGAAGTTTTATAGGGTTTGATAAACCTTTATAATTTTAGTTTAGTAAGTGCCTAGGATTAGCAGGGAATTGCATAGTAGCATGAAGTGTTTTAATTTGTGTTTTCTAAGGATGTAAGTCTATATTTTTTACAAATATATACTTGGATTTCTATTTGTTAGAATAGGGATTGTTTGTAGAATTTTACACAGTTGTTGTGACCTAAAGTAGACCTAGCATACAGAGATGCAGTAAACACATTTTTAGAGCAATACCCACCAAACACACTATAACTCATTTTATTTTTTTGTTTTTTTTTAACAGAAACACTTTTAAAATGTGTTATAAATTAACTTGAATTAGATTGTGAAATTGCACACATTACTTGATTAGATTAAGAAAGAAGTTGGGAAATTTAAGGGAAGGGCACATTTTTCAATGATTAACTTTAAGAATTATCATTATGTAACTTTGTAACATTCAAAAGGCACCACAGTGCCTGGGGCTATTTGTCAGTATATATTAATATCCTATAAGACAAAAAGTTTAGAATAGCAATTGAGTATGAACCATAGCTATAATCACATTGTGATATTTACCACAATATTCAGTTTAATAAAGTAGAATTACAAGTCCTTAAGTCCCTAGTTACATGGTAATAACTACATTTAACATGAAGATGTTTTTGTTTTGCTATAACTACACCAAAATGTATTTACCAGCTTCTGTCTGTGGGCATGTACATACATATAATATGCATTAAAATTTCATTATGATATGTATCAGACTGGCTTAGTATGTAGCCTGGGATAACCTCAAAGTAGGACCACCAACATGTACACCTGACTGAAATTTTTTAATAAAATCAAAAGCTAACCAAAATTTGATTTGAAGTGACAAGTTTGTTTGAAAAGGGGCAGTTTTATTTAGTTGTTGAGATTTTAATGATTATAGAGTATTGAAGTATCTGGAAACAAAATGATTTATAAGAAAAAGAAGAATAGAAATTGTAGGGGACAGTAAGCCACACCTGCTAGAAGCTAGCTACAGATATACCTGACCATGCCTGTCAGGATGTGGTCAAGGTGAGGTCAGGATGACTCCTAATAGGTTTTTAAGGGGCTGCAAGGCACATGGGAGCGTCTTCTCTCTGGCCTGCCTGCCTTGCTGCCCCTAGCACACTCTGGCTTGAGTTTGGCTGGTGTTTATCGAAATAAAAATATCTTAAACATACAGACTACAGATGGTCTCGTAATAAGAAATAGCAGAAATTTGGGATTTCCATATAAGGACATAGTGTAGGTTGGAAAGTTCAGGTAGCTGTGAGCTACCAGATCCATAATGAATATTTTCCAGTAAAAAGTGACTCGAACCCAAGGGACAAACACTCTTTTCTGTGAGAGAATTCTTCCAAACTCATTTTACGAGTCCCAAGTTGCTCTGATGGCAAAAGCACACAAGGACACACACACACACACACACACACACACACACTAAAACTGCCTAACAACAATACACCTAATGACACAGAAGAAAAGAAAATCTCAATGAGGCACCAGAGTCCAGCAGTTAAGTTACCTGACTTTACAATTACACATTCAAAAAACCATAAAGGTAGTGTTTTAATGCTGCTAGCACAAACTTCAGTGAAAGTGTTGGCAAAGAATCATAGACTTATACAACTCTCTGGCATGCGTCAAATGCAGAGTTATTCATCCAGTAAGACCTGTTGTAACACAAGCTTTCCCACACAGCAAACAAGCACAAAGTCATGCGAACACTGTAGATTATGACTCCAGACTCATGCAATGGGGATCCAGGAGCTCCGCCTCTAATAAGCCCTCAGCACCTATTTCCTGTACTCACCCCACCACCCCCTGGCACATAGTCCCCAGCCTCAAAGGCTCTGGTTACAATAAGGACTCTTAAGCTTAGTTTCTTACTTTTAAAACTGAGATCAAGGATTATGTCCTCAGGGGTAATGACATGAGGGTTTGTGCCTCGACTTACTGCCTCTGGTTATACTATGATATCCCTGAGAGGCCTGCTCTTTCCTAAGGGAAATGGAGGAGCAGTGACCCTGGAGGAGAGGGAGGTTATGGGGGGGGGAGGGAGGGATAGGAGGGGAGACTTCTGTCGGGATATACTTACTGTATGAAAGAAGAATACATTTTAATAAAGAATTAAACTTTTTTTTTTTTTTGGTTTTGTTTTTTGAGACAGGGTTTCTCTGTGGCTTTGGAGGCTGTCCTGGAACTAGCTCTTGTAGACCAGGCTGGTCTCGAACTCATAGAGATCCGCCTGCCTCTGCCTCCCGAGTGCTGGGATTAAAGGCGTGGGCCACCAACGCCCGGCTCAAGAATTAAACTTTTAATCCCTCATTTCCAATCTAGTGCCTTAGCCTGGGGATGAAAATCAGAAATAGGCTTTCCCAAGGCAGCCATTGAGAGCTCCGGGAAGCACTTTTCTAAATCCAAAAGAAATGCTCAGGAGGATTAGTGTGACGAGGACTAAGTCCCCCGGACAAGATGACAAGCATTCTGGGAGCTAGGGTGATGTCACTGTCTGGAGGACCCATTTTATTCCTGCAAATCAGCCTGGCAGAATCCCAGTCCTAATTTGGACTCTTGTCCCTTTCAGAAGAGCATGTGTGTACCTGTGGGTACATGCACACCATGGCGGGTATGTGTGGAGGTCAGAGGACAATTTATGCTGCCAGTCCTCGTTTTCCATCTTGTTTAAGACATGGTTCACTACAGGCAAGGTGGCCTGTAACCAGGATTGTAGCCTTGACTACCATACCCAGGTTCATGGTGGATTCTAGTGGCCTGAACTTAGGTTCCCTTGCTGGCATGCCAAATGGCCTCCCAGCTGAGCCACCTCTGTAGCCCTGCTGTCCCTTTGAAGAAAAAAAGAAAAAAGCCTATCAACTCATCGTTGAAGCCAATTTCCCCCACAAGCAAGGCTCTGTCTTCTTTGAAGAGTGCTGTCTCTCTTCTCTGTAATTTCCTTCAAGTTGCTAGCCCACAAGGAATAGCTGATTGCTCTACTAACAGTCAGGGTAGCCGCTGTGTCAGGGGACTTTTACAGAGGCCGTGACACTGAGGACTTTACAGGGGCAGGGAGGCTTGTTTCTTTGATGTCAGAACATTAGACAGTATTTCCGGGAAGAAGGAGAGCCTAAAATGGAAGATAGCGAGTGATCCCTGGGAATCCCCCTAAGGATACCACGATCTCTCTGAACTTTATCCAGCTTTTTCTCCTTTTCAAAATTGGCACAGGTGAAACATCACTGTGAGTCCATGCCCAGTACTTTGCCCTGAGGATAGCGTGACAGTGTGGCCTCCCCTGTGTGGGGTAACTCAAAAGCCGATGGAAACAACCATCTACATGATCAAGGGTAATTCAACTGAAGCCTCCAGTCTCTCCATGGTTTCCTGTTTCCTCAAATGTACGTCCCTATCACTGCTCCTCACTCAAACTGAAGACCTGCACACCATGTGGATCTTCTCTGGCCACCCATTAACCCATCTCATGGATCCCCAAGGGACGAGCAGCTTTCAGTCCCCTCTTCCTCCACCCCTTATCTCCCTGCACCTTTCACCCAGATCCCTGCGATCTAATGCACACCCAGCCTCCTGTAAAACGGATTTGGACTAGGTAATACCCAAGGGGATTTTTTTTTTAAAGCAAAGGAGGAGGCAAAACCAAACCTTTGCCAGCTTCCTTTTCCCTGGAGTCTCAGAGCATGCCCTGTCATGGATAGGATGTGATGATGGCAAGGAGGTGCCCTGGTCATTGTACTCTGGCCCTGCTTCAGCACCATTGATGTCTGTTTGTGTAGGAGTGGAAGGAACAGGATGCCTGCTGAAAGGCTAGCAGTAATGTCACCACAGGTGCGTGAGGCAACCACTAGAGGTGTGTAAGGCCCCCACAGGTGTGTAAAGTCACCACAGGTGTGTAAGGCCACCACAGGTGTGTGAGGCAACCACTAGAGGTGTGTAAAGCCACCACAGGTGTGTAAGCCACCACAGGTGTCTAAGGCCACCACAGTTGTGTAAAGCTACCACAGGTATGTGAGGCTACCACAGGTGTGTAATGCCACCACAGGTGTGTAAAGCCACCACAGGTGTGTAAAGCTACCACAGGTGTGTAAAGTCACCACAGGTGTGTTCAGAGACCACAGCTCACAGCCCCTCTTCTTCTCCCTGCTGTCAGAGCACAAACTCTATATTACTCTTTTCTAGTCTTTCACTCTTTCACTGTGTAAGGCTAAAACAAAAGACAACAGTGTGAATTAGTAATTCGTCCTGTGAAGTTTAAGCTCCCTGAGGAGCTGGCTTTTGAGAGAGACCCCATTACAGACCCAAGCATGATTATCTCCAAGATGCCTTGTCAAGGATGGGCTAGCCCACAACCCTCTGAGAAAGGAAGCAGAAAACAGCAAAAAATCCAAAGTAAAGATTCCATGCCTTCAGAGCAGAAGGAAAGTACATCATTAGTGTGAAAATGCTGGTTTTGACCAGAGCCGGGAGCTGTGAACATTCCTAGACAACTCCCTAAAGCAAAAGATTCAGCCATACTTGATCTCATGGAATTAGAACGCCTGTGGTGGGGGGCTGGAGAGATGACTCGCTGCTTAGGAGTGAGTGTACAGTGTCTTGTGTAGTTCAGTTCCCAGCACCCAGGCTGGGTGGTTCATGACTACCTGTAACTCCAGCCCCAGGGAATTGGTTGCTCTCTTCTCATCTCCAAGAGGACCCCCACACACATGGCAGAAACACATTCCTATACATGCATCAAGAATAAAATCTTTTGAAACATGTGAAGACCTTCTTGAGCTGAGAATAACTAACTACAAGTCCCCCTGCAAGCAGAAGATGGCTGTTTAGCAGACTGTCTTGGTTTCTGTTGATGCTGTGTCCAGCTCTCTCTCTCTCTCTCTCTCTCTCTCTCTCTCTCTCTCTCTGCCATTCACTGTTATAGTCTTTCTTCCCTGCTTGCTGTACACTTAGTAAACTCACTTCTTCATTCTCTATCATGAGAAAGTTTGGGTTTAATTGTCATGGACTTTGTTCAGCTTTATCCTTCATTACAGCAAAGGTTAGTAATACTTTGAGGGACATAAGTTTTTGGTTTTTTTTTTTTTTTTGAGGGACATACGTTTTTTAATGACATGGAGTCTTCTATAATCTGGGCTAGCCTGGAACTCACTATGTTGTCAAGGATGACCTCTGACTTCTGAGTCTCCTGCCTCCATCTCTGGGGTGCCGGGGTTCTAGGTGGCTCCTGAGATGCTGGGAACTAAATCCAGGTCTTGGTACATTCAAGGCAAGCAGTCTGCTAACCCAGCTCCCCATCCCCTATCCTGGTATGAGATTGCCTGAGTTTTACGAAGTAATTTAGTATTCACCAAAACCAAAGTCAAAACCCACCCAGAACCATAGCTTGTACGACTTACATTTTTGTGAAGCATAGTGGCTCACTTTCCTTTGGGAAATTGCCAATAACTTGGTATAATTTTTATTATTCTGTTATTGCCATCCGATTTAAGGTACAGTGAGAACTTGGGGAAATGTCACGGGCTGTCTCTTGTCTCTTCCCTAAGATGGATCTCTCCAGCTGTGCCTATTCTAGGTTTCTGAGAGGCAACCACAAGCTTTGCTTAGAACACCATTCCTTTGCTTAGAAGGCATTCACGGACTGCACTCTGGGGTTCTTAAACGAATTGGGGGCCCTTGTAGCAGCTGGATAACCTCGCTGTGTCTCCGCACCACCCAGGATTCTCAGGGTGCTTTAAATTAGAGGCTGTGGCTGACGCACTAGCCCCACTGGAACACCTTCTTTCTGGAGTCCTTTCTGAAAGTC